CATCTAACTAGGTGTAAGGTCGAACCGGAACAGTGCAAGTGAACTAGTGGTTATAAAAGACTTGAAGACAATAACTATTGAGTGGCAAAAACTATGAGATTATAGGGTTGGGGCGTGTTTGAGTTAGAAAGAATTATAGCCTGATAGGGAAGTCAAGAAGGGAGGGAGAGTGAGGGAGGGAGAGTGAGGGAGAGAGATACAGGGGGAGAGAGAGGGAGAGAGGGAGGGGGAGAGAGATACAGGGGGAGAGAGAGGGAGATAGAGGGGGAGAGAGGGGATAGTGAGGGAGAGAGAGAGAGAAGGAGAAAGGGGGGAGAAAAAAAGAGAGGTTGAGCGAAAATAACATGATCTGATTGTCTTAGAATTCGTACCAAGCTCCTCATTATGAGCAAAGCTAATTATTCTAAAGAACCTTAAGCCTTTTTGTTGAGTCACCAGCTTATCATCCTGTCTTTAAAGTATTACAAATATCGAAATGAATTCACGAACAAAATAATTTACACTTTGCAGATCCAAGTGGGCGAATTGGAGTCTCAAATGCAAACATACATACATACCTAATGTTAAAAGGAATACCTAAAGTTCAAACACAACAGTATTAATATAAAGAACATCAAATTACAATGTAACACCAAGTTTTAGTAGAGGTTTTACGGCGCTCTCAACTGCATAAGGTCATATGAGCGCCAGAAGATTAGAGATGTTACAAGAGAGTAACAAAGATTTTTTAAAAAGAAGAAGGGGCGATAGATGTTTGATAGGAAAGAAAAAGCAAACCACACCAGAGCACCCGCCAGCCACCCACAATGTAACACCAATGGAGAAGAAGTAGACAAACAGGACATTGCTGGACACCACAGTACAAGCCCTATACATGTATTGTGGGCTTGGATCATCGCTTATTAATAATAATAAATAGCATTTGTATAGCGCATATCCCCACTCGAAAGCAAGCTCTATGCGCTTTACAGTATATTATTACCCCAGCAACTGTCTCTCTTGTGGCCATGATTATAAACTTGTACAATTTACCATTTGGAGCACTTCTTTATGTATTGCCCTTGATACTCACCAGTAGAGAAAACAAGCACGGTGTTGTCCCACAGACCTTTGTCCTTGAGCGCCTGAGTTAGGTTGCCCACACCTTCGTCCAAGACAGAAACCATACCTGGTGGGGAAAATATCGTACTTGTCAATTTTATCCTCCACCCCCACCCCCAACCACCTCCTTTTCATCATCCCCTCCACATGTCTCAACCACATTATTTAATGATGCAAGCTCTCATTCTGCCGTTTAGCCTATTTCAACTTTTAGTTTTAGTTTTAGTAGAGGTTTTACGGCGCTCGCAACTGCATAAGGTCATATGAGCGCCAGAAGACTAGAGGTGCTACAAGAGAGTAACAAACATAAAAAAGAAGGGAGAGGATAAGGACGATAGATGTTTGATAGGAAAGAAGAAGCAAACCACACCAGAGCACCCGCCAACCACCCACATTTCAACTTTATCAACGGAATACATCACATCTACACACGTTTCTCTCACGTTTGACATACCGACAGTCTTCGCCGAATTATCATTTTTCACATCCCAGAAAATTGGACCTGAGAATACTTAGGAATTTTTCTCCAGCATTGCAGACAGTAACACAGCTCTGGACAGGGTGGAGATAGATCTAATGTTATACATAAACACGAAGCCCAAAAGAAGAAAAGTTGGAAGAAGTCGAACCAGTTTGGTTCATTCAGTTACATTGACGAAACTGTTGACAATGCCTGGCCCAGTGTAAACACCGAGTCGTTTTCCCACCGTTTAAAGACATTACTTATCCAGCACCAATGTCGTTTTTAAAAGACATACAGAATGGTTCAACAGTTTTCGTTTTTTATAATTATTTTTCTGGGTAGATTCAGTTACACGTAAACATAACAAAGCCCTTTAATACAGGTAGGTGTGGAATCCAGCATTGCATCTTTAAGCACTGAATGAGTCTATTGTCTCCCATTGACATACCTGCGTATATTCTTCGGTTCTCGTCCTGGATGTGTCTGTACTGTTTCTCGTATTTCTCCGGCACCTGTAGCGGGCCGTGGACAGACTGGTAGGCCAGGTACAGGAACAGGGGCTGGGGATGGGCGAAGGTAAAAGTGTGAGGGAGGGAGGGAGGGAACGCGGTTCATGCAGACACAATTGTACAGTCCATATATGATGTACAAAGACCAATATACTGACGTTTATCACGTAAAGGCTCAACCAGAATTCTTCAAATAACTTGCTAAAGCTAGTTCAAGTTGAATGCATCTATATATAATTATTTATCTATATATTGATTGATCTATCTATCTATCGATCTATCTATAAATCAATAAAGTGTGTAGTGAACCTACCGCTTTTCCTTTCAGACACCAAATTTCATAACCCAACGTCTCCTTCCATTCCCATCCTTTCGCAGCTCTATATTCCCCTCGCTGATTCTTCTACTACCTGTTCACCCTTCACTTCCATTCCCATGTTATATAATTATATCCCCTCCCTTTCACTCGCCATACCCAAACCTTTGT